TTAGCTTCTTTTTTTTTTTTTAGAGACGCTAGTTCGTTAAGAGAGGTCGAGATCTTCGAGGCGATGACTTTCGACCCGAGAATCAGTCGAAACTAGCAATTTTTGATGATTAGAACAGTTAGTGTGCGATTAGCGAGGGATAGAAAACGTTCTATGGGAACAAGAGTGTGTAGTTGGTGACGTTAACGAAACTCCTCGCGTTATAGGACGTGCTCGTTCGTCTGGCAGTCTCGAAGCAGCGTTATAGTAGCCTGTATGGGAGGAAAACGCGTCATTAATCCACGACTGGTAGAGGACGAACGTCAGAGCTCTGCTTTTGTAATTAATAGTGATCAATAATTTGATGGAAACGAGGAAAACCACTGATTACATTGACGTAGATTGAGTGTAACATAGAACTGAATCAAAGATACAGAAATTCATTTGAAATAAGTTGGCAATGATCGTTGTTATTTATTCTGCAATATAATTACAAGCAGCACTCGTGAAGTTCGTATCAGATTATCAGTTTCTGTCTGAGAATACAAAATATCTGTAGGTCATTTAATTCTCAGCTCAAGTGTGACTACCCTAACATTAACTTGTTATAAGACACGTGGAAGATTGTCACTAAAAGATTAATTTCAAGTAAATAAACCTGCAGTTTTGGAATATTGGCTCGCTGTAATCCCTACCAGTCGGTGGTTAACATTAACCAATAACCCAAGGGAATATAATAAACGAAACGATGGATGTAAGAATATTTACAGCGTGGAATAAAAATATGAGAGTACAGAACTGAAATGTATGAGAAGAAAAAACCGCAGGAGAGATATTGGAAAACTGCTACGATAACAATAATATTAATAATAATTATAATAATTAATTTTAAGAGGAATATTTTTGTTTTTCAAAGAAAAACCGTGTTTCGGGGTGGTCAGTAATTTTTTGCAAGTATTGTCCTGTTTTATTCGTGCTTCTATATGTTTTTAAATTAGTCTCATCCTACGTTGCTTATAAGACAAATTAACTTTCCTCGAGGCTTGACTAAACGAAGATCGAGATCTCCAATAGCCGTAACTTCTCTTCAAGCGTTAATCGAAGCTTGGGATTCGTCCGAGAACCGCGCTGGCCACCCGGTGTCGATTACGACCGCTCCAACGGAACTTGACGTTCTTTCGAGCGAGCTCGAAATTGGAGTACGTAATCGTGTCGCGGTTTATCGAATCGTGTCGAACAAAACTAAAGAAACTCGCGTGAAATATATTCTGCCGAGCTACTCCGTCTCTCTCCCGATATTATCCGGTGCTCCATCGATCGCCAAGGGCCATTGGAGGAAAACCCGTTGATATATCGCTGGACGCGATCTCGGTTCATCCTCTGAAGCCCAGCGGAGCGGCGAGAAATGAAAATCCATTTCTATGATATTTCCGAATTTATAATCGATCAAGCATTCCGTTTCGATCGTGTCTCTCTTAATATCTCCGAGAGTCTAACAGAAACCATTAAAGGGAACTGAGAATGGCAGACGCAAAAGGATCGGGGGTTGATTTCTGCTCGGCGACGTTTCAGAAGTTCCCTGTTTATCTTCAGTCCATCCCGGCAAGTTTTCTCGTAGTGGTAGAAACGATATTTTCCGACGTGCCTCTGTCCACATCGCGTCCGACCGGAGAGAGACGAGACCGATAGCTCGCGTGAACTTACGATCAAACGATAAAAAGAATTGAAATTTTCATACTTAAAAATCGTGGATACTTTTAATCGTTAGTACGAAAATTTAATCGACACGATTCGTTTGAAAAAGATAAACGTTCATAGGATTTAATTATGATCGAGGATTCGAATAATTGTGGGAGTGTTTTTGATTCTAGGGTGCTTACCATCAGCTCGGATCTGTCTACCGTCCTGCAGGTGTTGAACGAGGTCGTACCTAATCTCGAGGAGGTGAGTGTTGCTACGAGAAGAGGATCACACGGGAAAAGAAATGACTCAATCGTGAGACTTTTCACATGTTTTTCTTACCTTAGAATCCATGAACTTAGTAGATCAGCTAAAAAACGGGTTAGCAGCTTGAATCACTGATCCTTCAATTCTTATTCTATTCTTAAAGAAAAGCGTTAATCGGTATTGTGAATTAAAGAAAATACCTCGAGCACTTCCTTTCCAAGCATGTACATCGACCGTATCGTGGAACGATCGGTAATTCGATTAGCAGCTAGCATAAACGTGGCATCAACGGTTCAGAGTCGTGTTCCAAAGAACGTGTACACAGGACGTTATGAATATTCACTAGTACTCCGAGAACAGAGATTACCATGAGTCTCCGTATTACAAGCAACCGCGTGCAGAACAAAACTAAATAACGTTTTTGTGGAACGACTCGAGACGCTTTAACGAAGTAAAAATAAAAACAGAAAAGTGCTCGGCGTTACATGCGAAAAATCGACAATTCGAAGAGAGAGAGAGAGAGCGTGTTAAAAGATTTCTGGGACGTTGTGAATTTCAGAATGGAGCCCGACACGGCAGCGACGAGATCGACATGCGTATGCTGGTGCACCAGAGCCAAGCCGGGTGCATAATCGGCAAGGGAGGGTTGAAGATCAAGGAGCTTCGCGAGGTGAGTCACGCACATAATTGATCGCATGCCATTAAATCTAGTAATCGGTTGTACGATTGTCACGTACGAATCCGCGCCAAGGCCTCCAGCGGTTTGCTGACGAATTTAGTCGTCCTCGATGCGTTTACGTGGCCATCTTATTAATCACCGCGAACGATCTAAACGCTTTTAACGCTCGTTTCCACTTCGCGGTCTGATAAATTATTATCTGCTTTCGAACGATTCGAAAATGTTTCATACCGAATAGCAGCAGTGCTGCAACGGTGTCTAAAAATATGATGTCTATAGATACGCGAAGGTTCCTATAGTTTTAATCATCGAAAATGAATTTTCGCAACTGCTGCTGCTGCTGCTACCTTGAGCAACAGACAGGCGGTTGAGAAAAACTCGGTTTCCTGAGTTACAGTCGAGATTGCCGGAACATTAAATCATTAGACCCACGACTGATTCCTTACTCGGTTTAATCCGAATAATCTATTGCACAAACGCTGTTAATAAATCTGGAACAGGAATAATGAGCAAATTGTCCAGCGTTTCCCGTCGTTTCACCTCATCTAAGTCGGTTCAGTTGATTAAGAAAATTACAGAAATTGCGCATACCAGTAAACTTCAGCTAGATTTCTACGAAATTTGTTTTTAAGAATTCGTAGAAAAGCTGACAATTTTACGAGCTTCGCTCTAATAAACAATCTCGAGACAATTTTTCGACGTAATAGGATTTGAAGTTGATAAACGAAATCGTTCGAAAATGCTAATTGATCCGCGCTTTTAATTAGCGAAACCACTCCGGGTAACGAGACGTTCCAGACGACGGAATATGCAACTTGGCCAAGTGGCTCGTTACGTTTTTGCATTCAGAAGAGGTAAGAACAGCCCGATGCGGACCTTTTGTGTACTGCCTCCTCTCGACGGCCGCGATTTTTCTTATTCCCAGCTTTGTCGGTTTTCTCCTATTTTATTCGTCCATCTCGCAGTTTCCAAGCTAGTCTTGACACACCTGCTCGACTATTCGAGCATTCGTAATCGACAAAACGCATAGATTGCGATTATAAAGATTTTCCAAGTGCATTCATAGTTAACGAAGTTCCAAGGATTCTGTGAAGGATGAGTGAAACAATTGTCATCTGTATTCTCTCATCATGAGATCATAGCAGATTCTTGTACATGACTCAAGACGCATATTATCTCTGATTAATTTTCAAGGATTTATATACAGATAAACAACAACTGCAAGCACAGCTGGTATTTTTCTTATTGCGTTCGCGTGGATAGGTATAAAAATTGTCGCAAGTAATCTTACGTTGCAATCTCTTTTCGCCTGAACGTAAGAGGGAACGAAAACATGGCAGTGCCATTCAGCGACGTCGTCGTCGTTGAATCGTTTCGTTCGATCGAGGCTTACGGAGAGGTCGGGTTAGCTTTCGGATTTCAAATTATTCTCCCACGTCGACGAATGAATTTTACGGAAAACCGTAAATCGATCGTAATTGAAGCGAAACGAGATTTAAGAAATGGAAATGGCCCTGCTTTTGAATGATCGTTCGAACGATCTCGCGATTGCAGAATCCTCCCGTCTTTGTGCCACGGTTTTACGCAATAACATTGTACTCGACCGTTTCCTGTTTCCCATGAAACTTTCCCTGTCCTGTGTCAACAATACGCGGCGCCTATTTCGATACACTCGAGCGCCCTTAGCACGTGCAATATTTCGCGTATTTCGACCGGAGAGACGTAGCTCGTTTATCGTAATACTTCCGGGATCCTGGCGCCGGATGTCTCCCGTTGAAAGCAATAAAACCGTCTTGTTCGCGCCACCCAGCACCCATCCCTCCCCCACGGGTTTCTACGTCTACCCCTAATTTCTCGATGTGGAACACGCTCGGCTCTGCTACGACCAGTCAGGTGAACGGAGTCGAGGGTCTCGTCTGTATCTCTCGTTTGCACAGGCATTCTTCTATTATCTTTTTACACCAGTATTGATCCACCTTGTTATCTTCATCTCCTCTCTTATATGTTTATCATTCGATTATTATCATTTTATTATACGCTTGCTCGAGCTTTTTATATTCAGATACTTAAGCTCGTTTAAGCTACAAGATAAAAATACCAAGTCAATGTTCGAAGCTGTAAACTTTTAGGAAAATGTGTGAAAATTATAAGCGTTGATTCTTAAATAATATTCTCCAAGTTGATATCAGTTCAATTTTAAAATGTGTATTATATTCAAAATTATTTTAAGGTTTATCTACACTAACGCAATGGTATGTAGGGTTTCTGTACGTCGTAGGACGTACAGGGAAAAGCGGAAGAACCCTCGAAGCAGGTAGTGGACCCTAAACAGCAGGCCTGCCTATTCGATGTCAAACGTGGGCCCTTGAGATCCCTGCTTTTACACGCTTTTCTTTATACAATGTCCTAAAGATTAGAGCACTGGTTCTGCTACCGAACGTATGTCCTACGACCTACGAAGACCCTACGTGCCGTTGACGTTACGTTAGTATAGATAAACTTTTATTATTGCATCTCTGATCTTTATATATGAAATCAACGTGAGAATGAAAAAAAATAAAAATCTTGCACATTGTTTTATTAATCCAATAATATTCAATAACTAGCCTGCAGATTTTATGTATTTATAGAAGAATGAGATGTGTTATGTATTATAAGAATGCATCCAATATGTGAAAATCTGGAGAACATAAAATGTGTATATGCTCGATTATTTCTGGAAGCTAAATCTCAATCTTATTATTTTTATATAAATTTTTAAATTGGCAACACAGATGCTTGATTTCGTATAAATTACTGTTAAAATTCTGTGAATTATTTCTGTCGTTCTCAGTCATGTTTTATATAGAAGATAACGTTAGTGTAGATAGACTTTTATTATTGCATCTCTGATCTTGATATATAAAATCAACGTGAGAATGAAAAATTAAAAATCTTGCACATTGTTTTATTAATCCAATAATATTCAATAACTAGTCTGCAGATTCTATGTATTTATAGAAGAATGAGATGTGTTATAAGAATGCATACAATATGTAAAAATCTGGAAAACATAAAACTAGTAATTGCTTGATTATTTCTGGAAGCTAAATTTCAATCTTATCATTTTCATATAAATTTTTAAATTGGCAACACAAATGCTTGATTTCGTATAAATTATTGTTAAAATTCGTATCGTCATTGTTTTTATCTAAAGTCCCACGAAACCACAAATCATTGTTTAATTCCTCCGTATGATGAAATTATCAGATATTATGTGATAACCACGAGATCCCAGAGGTGCGCCGTTAATCTGTTCGCTGAGTTACACGCGAGTGTTTTGATGCGACGAGTGTCGGGAGGTTTACGAAGTAACTCGGCGGACTGTCCGGTGTTTCCGTTTGAAAGCTGCTCGGATCAGGCGATCGTTCGTAATTACGCTCGTTCGCCACCCTGCTTCACCCCGTTCTTCTCGCTCAATTACGGCGACGCGTTTTCAAAAAGTGTATTTCCCCGCTGGTCGGTGTCGAGTTCGTTAGCCGGCCCATCGATTCACTGGCTCCATTAAAACTTTCCACCGCCGTCAAACGTTCTCTGTCCCTCTCTTAAATCGCGACGTACACGATGGATCTTTTTATCGTGAAACGTATTCTAAACCATTCCGATTGTACAATCAACGTTTTTTTTTTCTGTAATAAGAGGCAAACTTCCATTCGAATCGAAGCGATAACTGATATGAAATAATAGATTTGTCCTTCTCATCGATAAAAATAAAACATTTTTTAAGACCTGATCGATGACCTGATCGATGACGAATGTCTGATAAATTTAATAGATTCATTTACGTTCTCTAGAATTTTGTTTAGTTTAAAACTGACATGATTATCTAACGTTAAACGTCATAATTCACCGAGAAAACATTGTTAGTAAAATATAGTTTCGCGTTTTAAAGATAGGAAAGCAAGACTCTGGCCAAAGTACACAGAAACAATGTTGCAGCGAGTTTGAATAAAAATAAACTTTAGTCACTGTTATTCGTCTTATCAATATTTTAACCGTGTCATCGTATCATCAGTCGCTGCAAACACGGTATTGATAAGGCTTCGATGACTTCTTTAACACCCGTTTCATTCGTTCCTGTACGATTGTTAGTGTACGTTTAATTATGATAAAATCGCAAACTTTAGATTGAATTGTTATGTAAGTTAGTTTCATGGACGACAGCACCTGCTAGTGGCTTATTAATGTGGTATATTCAGTGGTAGAAACTGTTCAATGCAGTGAAAAATGCAATTTTTGCAAAAATTTTCTGAATATTTCGAAGTACTAATTTTATACAATTTATTTGTTATTCAAAGAAAAGAAATAATATAGAGATTGCAATGCAGTTAAGTTAATGTTCGCGCCATCTCACATAGTTTATTCAAACCTCGATGAATGTAACGCACGCACACTGATATTACTAAGGAGTGGCAGTGCACGTGTAATCGTTGAGACAGCGAACGGGGCCCAATGGGGCTCAGGATACAGTTGCTCTTTTCGGTGGTAATCGGTTGATGCTATCGAAAAAATTCTATGCATTTTTCTTCTAACTTCGATACTTAATGAGTTAAATATGATTAATTGGCATTTTATAGGTCTTGAGAAAATCCGACCGTCCCACCGTCGAAATGGCGAACTTTTCACAAAAAATTTCGTTTTTCTTCAATTACTCCTAAACTGTTGAACTTACGGGAAAATTGCATACAACCTTTCTTGTAGAGGACGACGAGATCTACAATTTCCATATAAAAATTCTTTGCTAGCATCAATATTTAACGAGTTATTGACGAAAAACGAAAAAACAGTTTTTTGCAAATAACTCGTAAACTATTCACACTAGAGA